AGAGAGAGAGAGAGAGAGAGAGAGAGAGACAGAGAGAGAGACAGAGAGAGAGAGAGACAGAGAGAGAGAGAGTTAGTTTATGACGTTTAAACATGTAATAATAATGTAATAGTTATGTTCTCGCTTGTTGTGTGCATGGGTGAGTGCATAATATGACGTTTGTCACACATTGCCATTTGACAGCTGATGGGTGGTTTTCCCTGTCCTACCAGTATTTCAAGTTATTGCAGGTCAGTCCGAAGAGGAGAAGAGAAGGATACGAGACGGGCTTTAATCTAACTTGTACTTAATTCCAGGCAAGTTGAGCCGCCTCTAGCATTTCAGAAATTCATCCAGTACAGTAGAACATGGCTATAGCGGCACCTGCTACAGCGGGACCATCCCTACAGCGGGACCTTTCTGGAATCTCCTTTTTTCTATGTAAACTCAACTACCCGTCAAGGAAAGGCCCGAACTTGGATACAGCGGGAGGGAACGAGCGAGCTAGAGATCTATAGCTGGGGGGGGGGGGGAGGGGGAGAGTTGGGGGGGGGGGGGTTGTAGGCGGGCTCCAAACAGGCAGTCAGCGGTGCAGCGTTGTGATTTGCCAGTCCAGTGATGAGTGAGGTGGGTCAGGCGGCAAAGACAGGTGGTATGGAGAGATGCGTTACGTGAGCCACTCCAAAAGTGATGCGCTGTAGCTTATACGCTCAGTATGAGAGCGTATAGACCATAGCCATAGGTCTAAGCTAGGCCAAAAAGTAAAAGAAGAGGATAGCGTGTAGTGTGTGATTCCTGATTCTTTTTCATTGAATTGCAATCGTTGATGCTCATAGGCATACGCACGCATCCACTTCACCAGTTCTACAGTAGGCCTACGGTACGATAGACAGCACAAGCAACAAGACCGAGGAAAAGATGGCTTCCAACAAAGACAAACGGAAATGCTTCTCACTCGAATTAAAAGCCGAGATAATCAACGAATTTGACAAGAAAAGAAAGACTAATTTAAAAGTCAAATTTTATTGAGATGGAAGGGAGGAAACCATGTGAATTTTATTAGAAATTTCCTGGTTATTGACCCTTTGCATTCTTACAGCGGGAACTCGCCTACAGCGGGATTTTACTTCTGGAACCAAAAGTCCCGCTATAGCTGTGTTCTACTGTATTATACACACAACCTACAAAAAAAATGCGCCAAATTTGGAGTCAAAGTATACGCCTTTATTATACTACCGGGCGTTGTAGGCGAGTGTGTACAGTATAATACCTAACGACATTAAAACAGGACTAAACAAACCCACCAGCAGCACATTTACTGTATAACTTTACAAGTCCCACTTCCCACAGAACCAAGTATCGAGATTTCCGGGAACAATTATGTGGAAGAAGGCGCTGTGATCCGACTGGTATGCAAAGCGACAGGGCTGGATTACGCCCCGGACGGTGTGGACTGGTTCTTAGATGGCTACAAGCTCTCGAACATTGGGGACAACAGGGTTTGTGATGTAGTAAACGGTGTACATAATGATGATGATGATGATGATGATAATGATGATGGTGGTGGTGATGATGATGATAACCTTAAATTTTTCTCTGGTCTTCCCGATTTGTTTTTATCGCTCCTTTTGACATTATGACGAGTATGCGCGCACTTTTGTTGCTATAGCTTGTAGTCAATAGATTTTCCATTATATTTTTTGTACATGTTC